TTTACTTGGGAAAATGTAAAAATACAAAAGAATAAAAATATTATCAGGTATTTATATAATCATCATCCTGAATTGACAGCTATTAGCATTTTTGTCATATTCCCCTCAAATCTTTTTGTAATTTAAAAAGATGTTCAGATACTCTTCAAGTACTTCTTGATTTCCCCCACTTTTGCTCCCTGAGGCAACCACTCTCATGCATTTGCTGTTGTCTTCTAGTCCTTTCCTTTACATGTTTGTCCTCCCTGGTGTTCGTTGAGCTTCCTGGAGTGACATGTTTATATCTTCCCCATCAAATGTGGAAAACTTTTCATTGTTTGTCCAAATTTTTTTCTGCTCTAATCTCTCATTTCAGTATGGAATTCCCGGCATATGTTATCTTAGGACACTTAATATTGTCCCTGAGGCCCTGGTTTTTTCTTTGAGTATTGTGTTTGCTTTTTTCTAGCCTTTCTTTCTCTCCATGCTTCCACCGACTATTTTTTGTTGCTTTGTTTTTAAGTTCACTGGTCTTTCCCTTCTGTAGAATCTAATCAGCTGTTAAACACCTCCAGTGATTTTTTTTTTTCATTTCGCTTATGTATTTTTCAGTTCTAGAATATTCATTTGGGATCCTTTTATATAGTTTCCATGGAGGTTCTCTGTTCATTCCCTCATTAAATTCATGTTTTCCTTGGAGTCCTTTGATATTTTTATAATGGCTATTTTCAAGATGTTTTATTTTATTTATTTATTTATTTATTGCCAAAGACTGTCCATTTTGAATGGGCTATAATTTCTCTACTGGTTGTAGGCCATATTTTCTGCTTCTTTATGTGTCCAGTAATTTTTTATTGGATGCTAGCCATTGTGAATGCCATGTCGTTAAGAGTATTTTGTTGTCTCACCTAGTAGAGTATTGCTTTTCATTCCATTAAGCAGTTTATTTACTTGGGGATCATCTTGATCGGTTTTTTTTTTTTTTTTTTTTTGTGGGACCCTCGCCAGCTGTCGGGGAATGAACCGGTGCTGCAGAGGCTGCGGGCATCCTTACAGCCCAGCGCTCAACCACTCTGCCACCAGGGGAGGCCCCATCTTGATTGTTTTAATTAATTTATGCATACAAGAACTGGGGTGTAGTTGAGATTGTTGAGGCCAGAGGTGCAGAGGAGATTGTTGAGGGGCCGGTGTTTGAGAGAATTCACCAGAGACAGAGTGGAAAGTAGAACAGGTGGAATGACTGAAATACACTGCTGAAGGAAGCAGTGGGCGAGTCAGGAGAGGTCTGCTGTGCCCTGTGGGTCAGCTCCCTGGCTAGGGATCCATCTTGTGCTACAGTGGCTGCGGATAGCTTCATAGTGCTGAGACTTAACCCCTTGCATCACCAGAGAGGCCCTTGAGGCTTATTTTTAAGCCTATTTTTAAGTTCGAATGGGTCTCAAGTAGTCCATACTCTAGGGCTAGATTAGTCCCAAGCATGATGTTTCATGGCTTTTCTGGAATTCCTACTGAATGTTGAGGGTATTCAATGTAATCTCTCTGTTCTTTCTGTTGAGAACTCATATGTCTCCAAACATAGCTCGTGTAACCTCTGCAGTTGGTCAGCCATTTAGAACTCACACAAAGCCCATTTTTTTTGCCCAGAAAGCAGAAAATCAGGGTGATTGTGTGACTCATCTCATTTTTATACATTCCAATGGCAGTATAGGATATATATATATATTTTGCATATATCTTAAAATATTTACGTAAGTGGTTTTGTTCATATTCTTACATATCTTCCCTTTATACTCAATCTGTTTTATTTTTAATTTTTATTTTACGGGGGATACATTTTTGCTCTTCCCTATGTGCTTAAGTTCCACTCACCTCCACCAAACCACCCATGCCACGGGCTCTACCACCCTTCCTCCCGTTCCCTGTGGTAACCATTATGTTCTTTCACTGAGTTCAAGATTTATTCCTACTGTATCTATCATCAGGACTATATTCAAATATTTAAGTATTTTTGAGGATCTATTAGGCACAAGGTACTGGGTCTACAGTTGCATAGATGAGAAAAATCCCACTCTCATGGAGCCTAGAGTCTGGTGGGAGGCAGATAATAAACAGATAAACAAGTACATATATAATGTCAGACAGCAATAGATGCAAAAAAGAAAAATGAAGCAGAGTAAGGGGATTCAGTTGACTCAGGGAAGGTGATCAGATATGGTCTCAGAAGTCGTATTTGAGCAGAATCCTGACCCAAGTGACTGTGTGAATGATGCAGGGGAATGTCAGGGGAAAGAAGATACCAGAAAGAGGGAATAAGTATGCTGTAAAACTAATTCAGGGTCTTAAGAAAAGACATGACAGGCTCTCATTTAATGTTTTAGAAAGTTCTTTTTGGATACTATTTGGAGAATAGATATTTGGAAGAGGCTGGGAGGCTGCTGCAGTAATCCAGGCAAGAGATGCCAAGAAATGATTGGCTTGGAAATTACAATGGAGATAAAAGAAGTAGTCTTACTTGGAATACATTTCAAAGGTAGAGCCAAGAAAATCTACATTTAGGCAAATATTGCATGCAAGAGAAAGAAGGATCAAGAAAGATGCCAAAGTTAATGGCCTAAGGAATGTCATGAATTGAGATGGGGAAGTGTTTGAAGAAAGGAGTGATAGAGACATAGTTCACTCATTTTAACTGCTATATTGTACTCCATTATGAGTAGAGAAGATCCACTGTCTCCCAGCATTAGGGTGAACTTTCAGAGTGAACATTCTTTAACATGTCACTAATTTGACCAAATGTAAATGAGTTTCTCTTTGAAGACTATCTAGGGATGGAATCATTTGATCATAAGAGAGACACAACTTCAACTTGACAGAACAATGCCAGTTTATTTTCCAAAATGGTGGTGTGTCTATTCCTGTAATCAGTGTAAAAGAGATGCCATTGCTTCACACCTTCATCAGCATTTGCTATTATAGACAATGAAAAAACCTTGTCAGTCTGAATGAAAAGGTGTGTGATTGTTACTTCAAGTTGCATTTTCCTGAGTACTGTTGAGGTCGAGTATATTGGCCATTTGAGTTTCCTCTTACAAGACCTGCCTTTTAATATCCATTACCTAGTTTTCCATGGAGTTGTCTTTTTTGAGGGAGTAGAGATACAGATTTCTTTATATATTCTGGAGACTAAATTTTTGTCTGTTAAATACATTGCAAATATTTACTTCAAGTCTGTGGTGTGCCTTAACTTCATAGGGTTGTGTATGTGTGTTATGTGTAATATAAAAACTTATAGTTTTGATAAGTCAAATGCATTCATTATTTTGTGTATTGTAATTTTTTTTTAATTAAAGATTTATTTTTATTTATTTATATAAGCACTGGGTACAGTCAGAAGCACGGGAGGGTGAGAGAATTCACCAGAGCCAGAGCGGGGAGCAGAGCAGGCAGAGGGACCGAAGTACACTGCTGAGGGGAGCAGCGGGCGGCAGGAGAGGTCTGCGCGCCATGTGGGACCCTCCTCCGGTGGCCAGGGAGCAGCCGGGGATTGAACCGGCCCTCGGGCGCGGGCAGCTTCGTAACCCAGCGCTCAACCGCTGCACCACCAGGGAGGCCCTATTGTGACTTATTGAAGCAATCTTTTCCTATATCCTAACATCATCAAGATTCTTGCCTATATTTTGTCCTAAGACTTTTACTTTTTTCTATGCATTTATGTATTTATGTTACTATATCTGAAAGATCTATTCCATGTGTGGTGTGAGGTAGGGATGTCCCCCCCACCCTGCATTGGGAAAGCCAGTTGTCTAACCTCTCCAGCCTTTCCCACTGAGCTGGGACTGCCAACACCAGCTTTCCATGGGGACCTGGGTCTATTTGGGCTCTCTTTTCCTGTTCTACTGATTATTTCCTCTATTCTGGTCCTCATACCCAAAAGTTTTCATTATTAAACTTTATAAAGAAATGGATAGGGCCTCCCCTGGTGGCGCAGGCGGTTGAGCACCACGCTGTGAAGCTGTCCACAGCCTCTGCAGTGCCGGTTTAATCCTGGCCAGCCGGCGAGGGTCCCACATGGTGAGGCAGACCTCTCCTGTCACGCCTGCTGCTCCCCTCAGTAGGCAGAACAGTCTGCCTGTTCTGTTACCCACTCTGTCTCTGGTGAATCCTCTCATCCTCCCGTGCATCTGGCCTGTACCCCAGTTCTTGTATAAATAAATAAATAAATAAATAAATAAATAAATAAATAAATGAAATGGGTATATGGTAGGATGAGTTGATTATTTGCTTTTTGCTTTAGTCTTCTGTGTCTTCAAACTGTCCATGTATTTAAAATGGCACTCAGGGAACTTAGGAAAGATCCATTTGCCACTCACCTTTCAGTAACTGATCTGTCACATGAAGTCCCCAAAAGGAGCTATTTTGGAGACGATACTGCAAATAAACCGCCCCCCCCCCAACCAAAATAAACCAGTTCCTCCCTGGAAACAGAGAGAAGTGCTTGCTTCTCCCATCACTGATTTTGTTCTGGGGTAAAATAGGAAAAAAAAGTTTTATTTTGGCCTTCACTCTTCTGTGACACTCTGGGTACTTTTACTTTTGACTTCCCTCTCCCCCACCTGCCAGCACTCACCTTGGGTTTTCAGGTTGTGATGTCTCTGAACCGTGGGCCCGCTCTTCCGGTTCTCACACGTGGGCCTGTAGTGGGTATTTTGTGACTGGGCTGCAGTACCAATTCCGTTGGTTACTGCCAACCAGACCACAGTGACAGGTCTGCTGGGGTCTGGGGTTTCCTGTTGCCTCACAGGCCCTAGGACCCTGGATTCCAAAAATAAAAGCACAAGAAACCACTGTGACCCGGCAGTCTCCAGCTTGCTCGGTGCCCTGAGCACTAAGACTGCCTCCGCCCCTGTGGCCCGGCCCAGCGGGGGGCCCTGCTCCCCACCAGAGCAGCGTGGGGTCGGAGTGGGCCAGACGGGCTGGGCTGGCCGCCCTGCCTGAGCGCTGGCCGTCTGTCCCCTCCCCTTCAGGCTGTCACCCGCCGGCCCAGGGTGGCTCCTGCTGAGAGGATGAGCAAGTTCTTGAAGCACTTCACTGTTGTTGGAGATGACTACCACTCCTGGAACATCAACTACAAGAAATGGGAGAACGAAGAGGAGGAGGAGGAGGAGGAGCAGCCGTCACCCATGCCCGCCTCCGGCGAGGAGGGCAGGGCCCCCGACCCAGCTGCCACCCCCGTGCCGGCTCCCAGGCCCCTCCTTGACTTCAGGACCACGCTGAGGAAGCTCTTCAGCTCCCACCGGTTTCAGGTAGGTGAGCAAAAGCCCGAGATGCCGGGGTGGGGCAGGCATTCAGCTGAGAGTCACATGGCGGGTGGGGCTGTCCCTGCACCGGCTCGCTCACTGGGCACATGTCTGTCCAGCACCGACCATGTGCCAGGCACCCCGTGTAGAGCCCTGCAGGTCCCCTGTCATCAGAGCTCAAATAAATCACAATCCAAACACCAATGAAATGGCCGCCTGATAAATGATGTACAGAATGTGGTGTGTCCACACCGAGCCTTAAAAGGGAATGAGGCCCTGCCCCTGGCTGGGTGGTGGAGGGACCTTGGCAGCATGAAGGAGCAGGTATCACGTGTGGGTCTGTGGATACCGAGTGTCCAGCGTAGGTGAATCCCTGGAGACAGGAAGCAGCTTGGTGGTTACCACACACGGGAGGGAGGGAAGAATCTGGAGAGTGACCGCCTAATGGACATGGGTTTCCCTTTGGGGTGATAAAGTGTTCTGGAACTAGATGGGGGGGCAGTGTCGTGAATGTGCTTCCTGCCACCAAACTTTCTGCCAATTTTAAAATGGTTCAATGGTAAATTTTATGTTATGCAAATTTCCTCACTCACCCATATGCGTATACACAAAGAAAGTAAAGGGTAAAGTGAGGCGGAAAAAAGATCCATGTGTTTGTTCAGCCAACACCGAGTGTCTGCCTGGAGCTGCCCAAGGCCAGGCGGGACCGTGCCGTGGGCTTCAGGCTCCTCTTTCCTGGAGTGATGCCAAAAAGATCTGCTTGGCTTAACCCACTGCCAGCCTCCAGGTGTGTCTGTGGGGAGACCCTGGGAGGATGACGTGGCTTCAGAGAAAAGCAGAGAGTGGAACTTTCTTCCTTTCACTGTTCTTTCTTTTCTTTAGAGTAAGGGCAACACTTTTATTCAGAGCTGCCACTCTCTGCAAGGTTCATCTGTCATGAAATCTTACAATGTTGAAGGACAAGTGCAGGCTTGGAGTCCTTCTGAGAGGGCAGGCAGGTGTCTGGGAGCAAGTTCCAAGGCCCAGGAGAACGCAGGAAGCCCAGGACATGAGGGAAGCGCACAGCATCCCCTCATCAGCCCAGTTCCCAAGTGGAATCACGTGGAGCCATTTGGGGGGGCTCTGCTGCAAGTGACATTTTCTACCGAAATAAACCAGTTCCTCCTGGAAGCAGAGGGAAGCAGCCCTTGCCTCTGCCATCACTGACTTTGTTCCAGGGTAAAATAGGAAAAAAAATATTTTGGTCGTTTATTCATTCTCTGGTGGCTTCGAGAAGCAGAGCAAGCCTAGCAGTCCAGCCCTCCCTCAGCTCCGCTCTTCCCCGCGGCTGTGACATGAAAGGAAACGTAGTATTAAGTTGTTGAGGTTGAAATCCCAAACCCTCAATTTCAGGAGCAGAAGGAAGAAACCAGCTTCCTTCCAGCTGCAAGGGGAGCCCTGGACCCCCCTCAGGAAGGACCCCCTCTTCTGACTGGGTCACATGGCTCAGGAGGCCCTTCTGAGCCCTCCCCCACCCCAAGGGACGTCTACTGGGGAAAAAAGAAAATGCTAGTAAAATAGAGGAATTTATTCCTTCACTCAACAACGGCTTCGTAGTAGCTACAGCGTGGACAAGGCCCAGGAGAACGCAGGAGGCCCAGGACACGAGGGAAGCGCACAGCATCCCCTCACCAGCCCAGTTCCAAGTGGAATCACGTGGAGCCATTTGTGGGGGGCGCTGCTGCAAGTGACATTTTCTACCAAAATAAACCAGTTCCTCCTGGAAGCAGAGGGAAGCAGCCCTTGCCTCTGCCATCACTGACTTTGTTCCAGGAGCGAACAGGCCCTCAAAGAGGATCTGTGGTTCTTGGTGGATACTGGGCCTCCCAGCAGCCAGATGCTGCTACAGGGGGGCAGGGAAACAGAGGGGCCCTAGAGATCCGGGGATTGGAAGGTGGAGGAGGTGGCATTTCACCTGACACCCGCAGGCTGGGCATGAGAGAGCTGTGTGGATGGAGAGGAAGGAATTTTCCAGGCGCAGGGCCCAAGGTTGAATTGAGAGGGCGCCTGTGTAGCAGGTGGAGGGATTGCTTGGCAAGAGAGAAGGCCCTGGAAGGTTCTGAGTGTGTGTGTGTGTGCAGTGGTGGGCGGCGGGGGAGGTATGTGACCAGATTTGTAGGGTTGGAAGCAGGAAGGCCGTATTGGAGCAGGTGCTGCTGGTTCAGAGCCGTTGAGTTTTGCCAGTGAAATCAGCATACCAGAAGATTCTGGAATCCCTTTCTTGGATGCTGTCTCCACCTGTTCCTATGGTTGGAGGCAGCCAGAGTGTCGAGATCTACAGTTACTGCTGTCATCTCTTACAGAGGGTGGCCCAGCCCAGGAGAGAGAATGTGGGGTGTGTCAGCCTCTGCGGGAGCCATGGACGGACTGGGGTGCTGCGCTAGGGAGGACAGTGTAGAGGGCCAGGGACCTTCCTTCCGTTACCTGCTCACGGACTGGGCCTCTGTGCTTTTCACGCACAACTTCCTGCAGCACTCCCGTTGTTGCTCCAGGGTAGAGAATGCCCTGGGGGGCAACCAGCTTGGGATTAGTGTCCAGGCCCGGCAGTACTGCGAGGTGTGTGTGGTCCAGGCTAACAGGCTGCTGGGAGCTGGCCCAGGGCCTGCACTCTGCACCACTCTGTGCTGCCAGCTCAGGATTTGGAATTAACGAAGTTTCCCTGAATTCTCTGCATTTTTCCTTGTGACATGACTCCCCTTAGAAATAGTTCTGCCTTGATTCAGGGCCGTGGAGATTAATGTTCATAGAGGTGAGGGTTGGGGCTGGGCCTCATGGTTTTGTGACCTTGGATCTTGCCTTTTTTCAGTGAGATTCACATAAAAGAGTTAATCATTTTATTTTATTACTTTTTACATTTTAAAAGGACGGGTTTATTAGGCAAAGGAGAAAGAAAAAGAGAGGCACAGTCACCTGCACAGTCACAGGCAGGCAGGAGGACTCTAGAGTTACTTGTTTTAAAGTGATTTATCAATCAGTGGCATTTATTGGCACATGCACAATGTGGTGTGGCCATCAGCACGGTCTGGTTCCAGAACATTCCATCCCCCCAGAAGGAGATCCTGTGCCCATTACAAAATAATTCCCCCGCCCTCCTCCCTGCCCCCAACAGCCACTAATCTATTTTCTGTCTCCAGATTTGCCTATTCTGGACTTTTCCTATAATGGCCCCAGACAATCTGGGGGCTTCAGTGACTGGCTTCGGTCACAGCCTCATATCTTCTGGGTTCGTCCACATGGCAGCAGGTGCCGGCACTTCGCTCCTTTTTATGGCTGAAATATTTGGTTTGTGTTTAATATCCCTGTGTCTTGGGATCAAACCAGAGGAGTGCTCAGACCCCTGTAGCTCGCAAAACAGAGGGTGAAGAAAAAACCTACCAGACTGTTGAACCTTCATTAAGCTGCTGAATTTGGAGACATGGAAAAACTTCATCACAAAGCAGTTCACCATGTGTTTCACAGCAGCCCACATCAAGTCCTCTAATTACCGATATAATTAGTCACAAGTTGAAGTGGTCAGAAGGCTTAATAGTTCCTTCTTACATCGACCTGAACTTGTTTAATTTCAACTTGAAACACCAAGATAATGGCAGGTGACTTTTCAGAGGTCAAATCTGTCTCCCTGAGCACATGACAGGCAAGGCCCTGGGAAGCAGGGGGTGGTCTGGATGGCCAAGGTAGAGAGGGCTCACATAGTGTCCTTTGGGGTTCCTCCCATTGCCACCACTCCCATCACCCCAACTCAGCCCCCCGGTCTCCAAAGGCCATTCCCTCCCTCCCCCTGCCATCAGTGCCCTTGCTGTTGTCACCACCTGTCATCTCACCGCCGCCCCCTCACCCTCCATGAGATTACCCACCCTGCCACCAGGCCCCAGTGTCCTGCTTCCAGCTCGTCTTTCCCATGGCAGTGTGAGGTGCTTTGGAAACCCAGGACCACACCTCCTTCCGCCCCAGCATGCATGTGGCGGTTGGGGCAGGTACTTCAGGTTTCTGAACAGAAGCTGGTTTTGTTCACAGTCAACATCAATGAGACCCAAGTTCTGCGTAGCCAGTCCCTGCAGGTCCTTCCACGACTCATCGCTGAGGCTGGATTATTTGTTGAGCATCTGTCCTGGGCTTACTCTGGGAAGAACAATCCCCAGAAAAATTCAAACTTCTAGAAACTTATTTTCTGTCATCTTGGAATTAGTAGTTTGGTTTAAGAGATGCTAGGAAATGGTGAATGGATAGGAAAAGGCAAGCTATGGGGGCCTGCCTGGTGGTACAAGGGGCTAAGTCTCAGCACTATGAAGCTGTTCACAGCCTCTGCAGCAAGAGTTCGATCCCCAGCCAGGGAGCTGACCCATGTAGGATGCAGCAGACCTCTCCTGTCTCCCCCTGCTCCCCTCAGCAGTGTATTTCAGGCCTTCTGCCTGCTCTGTTCCCCACTCTGTCTCTGGTGAATCCTCTCACCCCCCACACCTCTGGCCTGTACCCCAGTTCTTGCATGCATTAAATAAAAACTTTTTTTTTAAAAAAGGCTAGCTGTGACTGAGCTTCAGGACTTGAGCCATTCAGAGGCCTCAGGAGGGCAACACTGCCAGAATTGACAGACGGGAGGGGGCTTCTGTCCAGGGAGCTCACCCCCTCTGCCCTCCTGAGGGTGGGGCAGTGGCTTCCCAGCTTTGGCACCTTGACCCAGTGGTCTCAACTGCCAAACCAGTCCTAACGTTGAAAGGTCTGGCTGAGGCCTGATTCTTGCTCCTTCTCTTGGTCTGCAGGTGATCATCATTTGCCTGGTGGTTCTGGATGCCCTCCTGGTGCTCGCTGAGCTCATCCTGGACCTGAAGATCATCCAGCCCGACGAGAATAAGTACGCCGTCCAGGTAGGTGCCAGCAGCCGCTGCGTGCTTTATTAACATAGTTCCCGTTACTGGCACCGAGGATGGCAGAGTCAGGCAGGTGGAACCCCCTTGGGTCTCGTCTTCCTTTCCAAACTATCGATGAGCCTTTACTGCCAGCAGCCACCCTCATTTCCCAGGACTGGGCACCTCCCCGATTCGAGAGGGAAGCTCTGACCGGAGGGTGACACTTTCCCCACGCCCAGAAGCAGGAGAGCCAGGCTCCTGCACCCTCCTGATGTGGGCCCTCTGCTGTTGCCAGCTGGGGACGTTGCCCCTCCTTTACCCCCTGATGCACAGTAACTGAGCCATGCAGCCATTTGCCTGAGAGCTGGGGGCCCATCATCAGCCATAGGAGACGGGGAGGCTTCAAAGCATCTCCCCACACCCCGTTCCTAAAAAGGCAATTGATAATGCATCAGCGTCCTTCCAAGTGCTGTTAAAGGGTGAGCAGAAAACATTCAACCTCCTGCCCTGCATCGCCCCTCCCCAGGCAGCCTGACATTCGCAGCTGTGGCCGGCCTGCGGCTGCCCGTCTCGTGCCTCTGTTTTTCTCGACTTTGTATTATGAAAAATGGAAACACACATTTGGCTATATTTGCTGCACCCACAAACACCCATATATTTTTGTCTATTTAAGAGACATCCCTAAATACTTCATCATGTTGAAGATCTTTCTCCTCCAGAACCAGGATTGCATTCTCATATCTTAAATTATCGATGATTCATAATAACCAGTTTGTACTGTACCTTCTTCGTCCCAATAATGTCTTTTCTAAAAAAGATTTATTTATTTATGCATACAAGCGCTGAGGTAGAGGCCAGAGGTACCGGGGGTGAGAGGGTTCACCAGAGACAGAGTGGGGAACAGAACAGGCAGACTGACTGAAACACACTGCTGAGGGGAGCAGCGGGTGAGGCAGGAGAGGTCTGCTGCGCCATGTGGGTTGCTCCTTGGCCCACCGGGGATCGAACCCGAGCTGCAGAGGCTGCGGACAGCTTCATAGTGCTGTGCTTAACCCCTTGCGCCACCAGGGCGCTCCCTGTACCAATAATGTCTTTATAGTCCTTGATGGTTGCCTGAGTCGGTGAATACCCAGGCGTCTACAAATTGGTGATTTCTTTCCGTCTTTCCTTTGCGTCTAGTGGTTGATACTCTTTTTATAAGAGACTTTCTTTCCTCTATGTGCTCTTGTGTGTACGTGGCACTATGGACTTGGGAAGGTTTTTGTGTTCAGCATATTTCATCCATAATCATTCTTTTCAGTGCTCAGATTGTCCTGCTGTGGTCACTGTGAGTCTCTTCAGTCTCCACAGTCTTTGAGCATTTCCTTGCTTTCTGGCCCACCATGTCCCCTCACAGTGCCCTTTCCCTGCCCCAGAACGGAAATGGCTACTTTAGTTAAGACTAGTACTTATAGGGCCTCCCTGGTGGTGCAAGGTGTTAAGCACCACACTATGAAGCAATCCCCAGCCTCTGCAGCATGAGTTCAAACCCCCAGCTGGCCGGGGAGCAACACATGTGGTGTAGCAGACCTCTCCTGTCTCGCCCGCTGCTCCCCTCAGCAGTGTATTTCAGTCAGTCTGCCTGTTCTGCTCCCAACTCTGTCTCTGGTGAATCCTCTCACCCTCTGCACATCTGGCCTGTACCCCAGTTCTTGTATGCATTAATAAATAAATCTTTAAAAAAAAAAAAACAAAGACTAGTACTTATAGATTAAGATGTGGGCACTCTCTCCATTTACCTCTGCCTGGATGATGATTTTTAATACAGTCAGCCTTGGTCTTTTTAACAGTTGCATAGTGTTCCACATGGAGGTACCATCATGCATTTGACAAGTGCCTTCTGATGGGTATTTCTATCTACAAACACTGTGAAGAGCGCTTGGTTCTGCATACAGTGCTGCCGCCGATCACCTTCAAGGTGTCTTTGGGCCCGTGTGAGCTTAGCTGTAGGGTGAATCCCTAGGCGTGGACCCTCACACGCCTGGTGAATAATCCTGCCACTTCAGATGTGGCCATGGCCCTTCAAAGAGCAGAGCAGACCCTTGTCAGCGGCGCTCCCAGCTGTATGCCCAGCCGAGAACAGCAACGGGTACCAGTGGGGGTGTGAGATGGGTGAGCGGACAGGTGCCCTCAAGGCAGCTTGTCTGTGCAGCCTGCCACAGCACGTGACGAGCAGCACATGATAAGCCTAGCTCTTCCCTCCCATGGCCTCTTGTCCCTTTCAGGTGTTCCACTACTTGAGCATTGTCATCTTGACCTTTTTCATGATGGAGATTTTCTTCAAAATATTCGTCTTCCGCCTGGAGTTCTTCCACCACAAGTTTGAAATCCTGGACGCCATCGTGGTGGTGGTGTCCTTTGTGCTCGACATTGTCCTCCTGTTCCGGGAGCATGAGTTTGAGGCTCTTGGCCTGTTGATTCTGCTCCGGCTGTGGCGGGTGGCCCGGATCATCAATGGTACGTCCCTGCACTCCCAGGTTGGGGAGGGGCGGCGGGGGGAGGGGGGCAGAAGGGGCAGAGAGGTGGCGGTCATGCTTTTTCTTTTGGAGCGGAGAGAAAAGTGGTCTGACCCACTATCTGTGTGGTCTGGCCCACTATCTGTGTGGCTACCAGCCGACATGGAGTCACACGCTCTGCAAGGCCTTATGTTCTCCTTGAGGCCACACTTCTGTGATTATTGAGAGGTTTGTGGAGAGGGTTGACTGATCCCTGATTAGTCCCTCCCAGCTTGGCCCCCAGAGTGCCTTTGCTTTTAAATTTGTGTTCCCTGAAGTGTGCCCCCTCGGAAGGGGCGCCATCCGGAAGGGGTGCAGATAGGCTGAGAAATGAAATGCTGGGCACTAGTCCTGCCCTTGGAGAAGGTCACGGCATGCCTTAGTGTGTTAAAAGCTCCAAGAACTTCAAGAGTTTTCCAAGTTGATCATTTGACACTTCTTTGTGGGAAATAACAGCTGTTAACATGCTATGCTGGGGACTGTGGCTCTGGAGCACATTTGGAGAAATGCTGCCTCGCCATACTCTGGGTAAACCTGTTCCTCACGCACGCCCTGCTATGCAGGATCTGTGTGTAGGCTGATGTCAGGGGCCCGCTGCCTGGCTCATTGTTCTGCTGGCAGAGAACGTGTCCGAGTTGCCCACGTCTATCTGCAGGCTGCTGCATCAGTCACCTTCAAAGCTGGTTTTATTAAATGGAGAGTGATGCAGAGGTCTGGGGGTATCTTTCAGAGCGCTCTCAGGTGGTTCAGGACTCCCTAGACTAGGGGCCAGAACCACAGGCACTGTGGGTTGTTATAAGGAAGGCCCATCCTGAGGCCCAGACCACCTCTTCCCTGTGCCCCAGACAGCAGTAACCTGGCAGGTGAGGAGCATGTCTGCTAGGATGCAGGACTGTGTGGGCCCTGCCTGCAGGGTGTCAGGCCCAGATTGGAGATGATTAAAATCAAGCTCATTAAGAACATTCTCTGCTGTCACTGTTGAAGATGCTTCCGCTAACTGCTTCATTAATAGAACAGAAAACGACTCTGTGCACAGGTTATGCACAGGGGAGGTAGGCGAGCTAGGACTGATGACGACTCATCAACACCCCATTACTCCTGCCTCTCACCCCTGTGAGGTTGGCTTTTACAGGGGCAACAGAGGGTGAGTTAGCTATTTTCCTTGTCTAAATAGAGCACAGGACTGGCAATGCCTGTTACTCTTCCTCTCAACGTCAGTAGCATGACATGAAGGCTGAGGAGGTGCTCAGGGGCTGCTGCCCCAGGCACCAGGGCTGGGCACCAAGTCCAGACATGGTCTCTTCCTGGAAAGGGGCCTGAGCATCCCCGGCTACAGCACGCATCACCTTTTGAGGCATCATCCCCTCTGGTGTGGCTTTTGGGAACCATCCATGAGGCTGATGACCTATTAGCACCTGGCAGCCAAATTGGCCACGGCTGGGGAGGCAGTCAGGGCAGCGGCCGTCTCAGCCTCTCGTGTGAGCTCGTCTGGCCCAGCACTCCTGCGGCCTCTGTGTCCGCGTCTGCTAAGCAGCATTACCTCTTGAACAAGCTGCGTGTTGAGGAGCTCACCGCTCATCTGGCCCGTTGTTATTTTTAAGAATTTCCCAGCCCATACCAGAGAAAAGTACCTCACAGCTGAGTACCGCGTCACTCAGAACTGGAAAATCTGACCCTCCGAGCACCGATGCCTTTAAGCAGTGACCTTTCATCTTGTCTGGCTCCCCAGCTCTTCCAACTTAGGCGGAAGAGAGGGGGATTATTTTTCAAGTGATTAAATCACAAACCAGTATCACTGGGACCCTCAATTATTTTTCAGGGATAATTATCTCTGTTAAGACACGTTCCGAACGGCAACTGTTGAGGTTAAAACAGATAAATATGCAACTGGCCGCCAAGATCCAACACCTGGAGTTCAGCTGCACGGAGAAGGTAAGAGGCGACGCTTGGGAACACGCTCCGGGCCGCTCTGCGTGCCTCGGCCCCCTGCCGCTCAGCCCGCAGCGCTGTCCTTGTCGTCGGGCTGAGGCTGTCCCCTCAGATTCAGCTTGGGCCTCCTGGCTACACCAGCAGCCTCTCCCCTCGGCCCCGGGACCCCCGCTGCCTGAAGAGTCTCCCTCAGCTGTGTCCTGGGGCTCCCGGAATGATCATCACGAGCCCGGGGAGGCTCACAAGGTAAATTCAGGTATCTGTCTGCTTTTGTAATAACAGGAACAAGAAATTGAAAGACTTAACAAGCTGTTGAGACAGCATGGACTTCTCGGTGACGTGAACTAGACCCGGAGCTGCAGAGCCTTGTGCCCGTGGCAGCGAGACCACGGTCCTCCTGCGCGGCCAGGGGAGAGGGCTGGCTGCGCCTCTGCCTCCCTCCCGGCCTCTTCCCTGACAGGAAGCGCGCTGGGGACAGCGAGCTGGTCCAGCCTGGCCCCGCCCCACGCCGTGTAACAAATGTATCATAAACTCTATTTTCTCATGTTAAACATTTTACTCTTGCTTGAAGATAAACAGGAAAACTGGACAGATACCAGTTGTATATAAAATGTCATTTCATCTGTAATTTGCAAATTTTGCATGTGCATTGAGGAGCCAGCGCATTCCTGAAACACACAAGAAAAAAGTTGCCAGCCCATTCTAGAGAAGTCTTTCATATTGCAGAACTGTTCTAAACAGCTTCTCAGTTTCCCCCAGGAAGGTTGTTCTCAGGTTCCCAGGCCTCTCCTCTGCCTCAGCCAGCAGAGCTGGCTCCACCTAGCTCTGCCACCTGACAGCATTTTTCTCAATTACTGTACAATTAATGTATAAAATAAACTCTCGCCTTCCCTCGGGCCCTCCCACTATATTCTTTCCAGCTTCAGCTGCTCTGCGGCATCGCAGCCCGGCCCACTAGTTGGAAAGTGAGCCCCAGCGCCTGGCACAGAAATGGCAATTAGAGCGGGACCCACTGTAATTAACACGACACTGGGGAAGCGCCCCTCACGAGGGCCTATCCATGTGTGATTTTGTGCGATATCTTGCTATTCTTGTACTCATTTCAGAAAATCCTGAAAAGAAAACCTGAACTAAAAACATTATTTTTTGAGTACCTTGCATTAAAGCGGGGAATGAGGAGACTGGATACACTTCAAGACCAGCCCCTTTCCTGCCCCTGTCACGTCACCATGAGACGCCACATACAGCCCAGGCATCGAGGGCGCTGCATGACCAGGACCAGATGCTGCCCCTTCTACGTCAAATCAAGTAGAAGAACATTTCTCAAAGGACAACGGGGAGGAGGGAGGGGAGGTGTACTGTCAGGGGGCTACCTCTTCGGGTGATATCTCCAGGGGCCCCGGGGCTACACTCGCACTCCCTTCTAGAGACATAGCACCAGGGACTTACCTCAAACAAACGGGAAGAAGAAGTGAAAGGGCAGCTTGGCGTTGATGGTCGGCCGAGCTCTGAAGCCGGGCTCCGCAGGCGCAGACACATCCGTAAAAGTAACCGCCGTGGAAATAAGAACCATCCTCTCCTTTCCTGAGTCGGTCTGAAACAAGGTCATTGGCACAGGGTCGCAGAAGCCAGATCAGCTTTCATTCTCCTCGACCACTGCCACCCTGTGAAGCCCATCAGCTCCTCTGCCATTAACTCGCATGAGAGAGATGGTTTTTACCCTGTTTTCCTACTGCGTCACTAGCAACCACAACTCAGTTTTCCCAAGGATTTGAAAGATCAGATCTAAACGAGAATGTTCATGTGAATAAAACCATTGTCAGGGAGATTTTTTCCTCTGAAGATAATGACTGCTAACTTTTTGAAAGAATCCAGATTGTTTATCTTTTAATTCTCTTTCACAACATAATAAATTTTACCTGTCACACCTGAGTTTTATCTGGACTTGTATCTCAGCCTATTCCTTTAAACCAGAGTTAGACCTCACCTCAGGCAATGAGGATGAAATCAGATTCGCAGTCACGTTCACGATCTTAGCCTGTGGGTTCAGTAAGGACCCATATTTAGTCCACTTCACCTCTATCACCAAAGCCACTGGGAGCTGGCAGTAACCCTGCAAAATGAAATGCCATTAATCAATTTGAAAATTACACAATCGCAAGTCAAACTTAAGCTGCAGTTCAGAGTTTTAATTATAAAATGTTTTACTTATTACAAAATGTTCTGAACAAGAGAATGAATAGACTCTAGAAGTTTGGATAAAAACAGCTTAGACAAAGCACATAGTTTCAAGTACTCAAGGCTCCAAAAATATTTTAACACCTAAAGCCTCATTTTCCATCCCCTCCTGTTTCTAAAGGGGGTCAGCATGACCTTGCACACCCAGCTGTGCCAGCTTCAGGGGCGTAACGGCACTGACTTCATCTAGTTTACATCTAGCTTGAGCTACTTCAGGAGGGGAACTGGAGCTGGATGGGGGGAGAGAGAGAAGATGGTATAGACAGATGGAAATTAAACCTGCCTGCATGCCATGTGAAAATGCACCGAGGAGAAAAGGGCATTTCAGTGCTCTCTTTTCACTTGCGCCTTCATCGGGGGCAGTGGAGCTGTTGTTACATGGGGTGTAGAGTCCGAAAGTCCTCAAAGATGCTGTCCTAGCAGAGAGCTCTGGCAGAGGGCAACGCAACTGAGTTCAGGTTGGATGCTGTGGGAGCTGAGTCCAACGCCCGCCCAGGACCTTGGTTTGGTTGGCCCCAAGGGCAGAAAGGGCAAGTGGACGCTCAGTCTCTTGGGCAACCGCAGTGGTGAGTTTCTTAGCATGTCTCAGGTTGGCAGACGTGCTAACTGCTTCAGCTACTGCACTATCGGTCAGTGGGTCTTGTTCTACTTTTGTGTATGTCTGAAATTTTCCCACAATATCAAACATGCACAGTACATCTCTTCAGGACGTGAAGAGCTAGCAGGCCTGCTAAATTTAATGCCTGCCAAATGGCACTGATGGAATCTCTGTTGAGAAATTTGCAGGTTGAAAATCCCTGAGACTCTCCAGGTATCAGGAGAAGGTACAATACGCAGCTGGTGTGACCTGAGCTTGGCAGATGCTCTCAAGGCCAACTTCTCCCTGGATTTCCTGGAAGGTGGGTTCAGAACCCACCCCAGGCTCTCTGAGCTCCCTGGACCAGCACAGAGGCTGGCAACGCTCATGTTCTCACCGCCATCTCTCCTCCCAGCCTATGTTTTTCCTTTCTGAGGGGCAAGTAATAACAGGATGTCTTAACTCATGTCGGAGAAGCCATAAGCAATCTCCCTGGTTCACTGAGACTTAGCAACTGAGCAGCAGGGGCTGAGTAATCATGGGTCTCTGCTGGGGACTCTGTGGGGAGGGCAGGATCAGAGCTAGTGAGCTAGTCTTCACCCCCATTATCCCCGGCTATAAATATGCTAAGCAGATAATGAGAGGCCTGAAGAACTGTGACAAGAAAAAGCCGGGCAATTAAAGGATAAGCTGGAGCGCACGCCTCCAGCGAAGGGGGCCGGCCCACACTCTGACGGCTAAGACAAAAGAAGAAGGTGGGCAGAAGAATCACATGGGATCAGGAACCTATTTGTAGGATGTCAACTTCATTCAACTCTTGGGAACTTTAGAATTGAAAGCTCTCACATGTGGGCTGCCTTTCCAGACCAGGGAACAAGGGAGCGGCGGCGGCTGTGTGGAAGGGAGGGCGCCTCAGTTTTTTGGAGACAGTCTTCACACTTGTTTATCAGATCACAGGGCCTAGAGGCCTGGCGTCTCACCCACAGTGACAGTAGTGACGGCGGTCACCTTGATGGAGTGACCACGCAGCACGAGCCTCGATGGGGGTGACTGTGACTGTCAGTCCCATTTCATAGATGAGGAAAGAGACAAGCCCATAAAAATCCCCAGTGAAGGCTAACAGTGCTAATAAGAGGCAAAGCCAGCAGTCAGGATCCTGGCCTGGTGCAAGGCAAAGCTGGAGCTCCTGGCCACAGCCACCACCTCCCGGAAAGGCTCCTCCCCCAGCTGCCTCGATCTCCCCACTGGGAGGAGGCGCTCCTGCGGGGAGGAGAGGCCAGCATCTCCTCCCCATTTACCTTCACGTTGGATGTCTGGGTGACGAAGTGGACAGGCACCCAGTCCAGCACATCCTGAGCCCGGGTATTTCCAAAAGGGGCCACGTAATCTGGGAAGCCCTGGCCCCTCAGCAGGCTTTTCATCTTCTGTTCTACCAGTCGGCACGTGACAGCTCTGGTCAGCCTTTGGGACGGAAAAGAGGTCACTCATGTGAAGCTACTGTTCAGAGCAGCAGTTTTTACAGGCCCAATGCCTCCCAGGCTCACTCTAGTTTCTTTTCCCTCACTCTCCAAAAAGGGCATCTAGAAGAAGCCAAAAATATGTCTAAATGTGAAATTTTGGTTGTCCAGGGAGGTGCATTCAAAACAGTATTTTTCCTGAACTGATCCATCGAAAGGCTCTGTGCCCAAAGGCCAGAAGACAGCCCTGCTCCCCCAGAGCACAGTGGCCCTCAGAGAGGCCCGACAGTAAAGCATCACGTTTGTTTATTTCTCAAACATACTAGAGCAGGGACCTAGCCCTGCTGACATCCGGGGGCCCCATGTTCCATGGAACCCCCTTTGAGAATGACGGTCAGAATGTTGTCAACGGCGAATACTATCTAAGCGCCAGGGTGACAAGACCACCCCGAGGATGTGCTGGTTGAGGAGTCAGCAGGTAGTGGGGAACAGGATGGAGGGGAAACAGCAGCCTTCACCTTCCACCGGGGGACGTCAATAAATAAGTCATAAAACCAAGAATTCAAGAAGTAGAATTGTATGTTGGTTATTTCAAGATTTGGGGAAATCTTCCAGACAATCAGCTGTGAGAGTTGAAAGTGATGGCTCCCAGGGTGGGGAAGGGAGGGCAGCACGGCCCGTCTTTATACCAAATCATGCAAAGCTCCTGACACTGTCCATGCCGTCCAGGCCTGGTCTGCAAAGACCCACTGAAAACATCCCCTTCAGGGCTCTCTCACCGGCCTGCGTGCTATGTGTGTTAAAATTCAGAAATAGAAGAATGAATTATATTATACCAGGAGATCCTATCAGGAGAATTATATCAGGAGAAATGTTCTTGCTGTGAACTCAAGTGCTGTGGCGCCTTAAGAACAGGACATACAGGGCCTCCCCGGTGGCGCAGCGGTTGAGCGCTGGGTTGCAAAGCTACCTGCAGCCTCTGCAGCCGGTTCGATCCCCGGCTGCTCCCCGGCCACCAGAGGAGGGTCCCACATGGCGCGCAGACCTCTCCTGCCGCCCGCTGCTCCCCTCAGCAGTGTACTTCGGTCCTTCTGCCTGCTCTGCTCCCCGCTCTGGCTCTGGTGAATTCTCTCACCCTCCCACGCTTCTGACTGTACCCAGTGCATGTATCAAACAAACAAACAATAAGTAAATAAATAAGACATGCCTCTAGAAAATTAAAAAAAAAAAATCATTTAAAAAAAAAAAAAAAAAAAGAACAGGACATACAAAGCCTAGGGATTTCCACTCTCCCGTATCTGATAAGAAAGATGGCTGTCATTGTGTCCCTCTGAATTATGACAAATAGTACACTGCTGATGAGAATAAAAATTAGAAGACAAGAAGTGACATGATAAGTATTGTTACTACTGCTACCATCCACTAGTAAAGAGAAGAAGCTGCCTGTGATTTTCCTCGCACCCCTTAGCTGATGCGGAGGTTGTTGGGGGCGGGGAATGCCAAGGAGAGCAGGGGTGCTTTGCTTCCTGGTGGGAACAAACAATGTACTCTTACCTTAGTGTACAGCCAGACTGCGTATCGTAACCAAATAATACTGGGGTCCGGATCCCCTCCACTGCTAAGCAGTCTTGCTCAGTTGTGCTACGAAGAATAGTAAGTTGTCCGTATCTATTCGTGGTCTGAATAATCCCAGACATTCATGGGAAGTTAAGGGACAACCGCCTGGTGGAGAACAGCCTGATTCTCAGGAGACAGTGTGACAAGTGTGGCACGAGACAGGAGTGTGATTCCCAAGATCCCTTTCTCTGGGCCTCTGGGATTTTGACACTAATTTCCCAGGAGAGGACAAAACACAGTTATAATTATTTTCCTTGATCCTCAGAAGAAAAATCCTCAACACTAGCCGTTCCAATTTTCAAAACCAGTAACTTTGTTTAGGAATCTCTAAGTGTGAAATTAAATACATCTAGTGTCTGTCAACTTTTCCATCTTCAATTTTCATTTTAAAACACTGACATTTCCCAGGCCATGTTCTTTCACCCGCAGCTGCCAGTCTCCACACAGCCCGACTTGCGATGCCATTAGCCCCCGGCCCCCCTCCCCTCCCCTCATCCACGCAGAGGAAGCTCGGGCTCAGACTGCTGCCTCCAGCCCATGACAGCCCACGGAACCCTCAGCAGCCGCAAAGCGTGGCCCACACACCCCGGCAAGGAAGTGAGCTTCTCTACAGAACCAGAAAGGATATCCCTTGTGAGGCCGAAATCCAGCTACTAAGGGGAGCCCCAGCACATACCCCGGGTTCCCGCTGAGAGGGGCTGGCGTGGTGTTGTGCTGGAAGACAGTGCGGACACGGCCCGTCAGTCGTGTTCATAAAGAAATGGCAAGGAGAATGGAAATGCTTTTCACAATAAAACTTGGGATCACCAATAAAAGAATTTCTCCCCCTACTCAGAGCTATATATATCCCCGCGGAGTGTAGGAGTACATCCTACCAACAGAACAAGCTCACGCAGAAACCATCCATCCCCAAGCGGGAAAAGGCACAAGGACGCCGCTCGTTCCCCGCCGAGCCCCGCGTGCTCCAGGCAAGCCCTGTGCTCAGTGAGAGCTTTACATGTAATACTTCTACATTGCTGAGACATCACAGTTATTCTTGGCCATTAACTACCTGCACACAATTGAGCAAACTTACTTGAAAAAAATGAATCTCAAACTTCTGCTGAAGCGGGAGCGCCGCGCTGCTCACTGCCCCCAGGAGGAGAGAGAGGCCTGCTGCCGCGACCTCCCCCGCCGCTGTGTATGTGAGGCTGTACTTCGCCTGGAAACAAAGGGAAGCTCCGAATACACCTGTCCTCATCACGCCTCTGCATTAGAAAACTCAGAATGCCCCCAGGAGGCAAGGCGCTGCGCTTCTCCAACTTGCCGAAGCTTTTCGCTCCTGTCCAGCGGGGTTCCGGGAGGCCGCTCAGCCTCACGCCAGCTGGCAGACGTCATGTGAGCCTCTGTGCCTGACTACATGGGTGCAAAGTGGGATGGAAGTCTTGGAGTGGAGTTGTCCTAGCGCTAAACGTGATGGAACAAAACAATAGCAACCACAAAGGTTGACTTTTTTGGTATGTCGCTAGGTTTGTGGAGAAAAATCACCCGTGATTATTTCTGAGACAAAGAAGTGTCCTCTGATAAGACAGCATAAAGGCAAGCACGAGGCCAGGTCCAGCGAGGCAACACCACAGAATGGACCAGAGCCCTCTCTGGGGTATACAGGTGCCCTTTAAATCTGCCATAAAGAGCCCAGGGCTTTCCAAGCCAGACAGGGACCTACCTCCAGAACCACGTTTGTGCAGATTTTATCATCTCCGGCCTCCACAAGAGCCTGGTGCAGCACCCCAGGGGCTTGCAGCCGGGTGAGCGTTTTATTTAGAGACTGAACGACAACCGACTGCACAGCAATAGGGACCTGCAAAGCAAAGAGGACTGGGTCACTGAAGGCTACAGCAGAAGTGAAAGGGTTAAAATAACAAAAAAATTGAAACAAACCTCCACGATATGCTGCCAGTAGGGAAAAGCATGCTACACAGTAATATATGTTTGCAAAAATAGAGTTGCTGTAGAAATCATATACACATCCACACGAAAAATTCCTGAGAAAGAGATCACCAACACGCTGAACGATTCCTAAGCCAAACACTAAAAACCCAATGGCTGTCAACTGATGAATGGACAAAACGTGGCCTGGCCATCCAAAATTTACTCTTCATCCATGAGAGAGAACAATGCATGACACGTGCCCCAAATGCACGAGATCTGAAAACAACCGATGAAGAAGCCAGATATATGCAGCACGGCGAGGAGATGTCAGGTCAGGGAAACCCATCAAGGCAGAAAGCAGCTTAGTGGCTGCCAGGGGCAGATGGAGAGGGTTGACAGATGAAGCGTGAAGCTTTCTTCTGGAGCACTGAAAATGTTTGGAACTAGGTAACAGCGATGGTTGCCCAACTTAGTGAATCTGCTTAACTCGATGGAGTTGCATACTTGAGACAGTGTGTCTTACACGGTGGGGCTTCTCTGTCTCACACACACAGGGTGGTGGCATCATGGGTAGAAGAAAACAGACACAGACAAAACTTTTAAGCAGAATCAAGAAGCCCTGGTTAGCCCAGTGCTATTCGGGAATACTTTTCATTTGCGATCCCGCCAGCAGTGACAAAAGCACAGGCAATTCTTGAAATGGCTTGAAACTCTCGAGAACAAGCCTCTTCGGACCATCCCATAAAGCGTGTGCTCTAAGTGTCAGCTCTTAGAAACCGCTGTTCAGGAAGGAACCGACTTGTTTCTGTTGATTTGAACTTCGTCTTCAGTCACGTACCAAGCTGCTCCTCATTCAAGATCACTAAGCACTTAAGCCGTCATTTTATAAATGTTCTTATGTGTCTGCTCCAAAGACCTGCCACCGTCCTCACAAGTCACAGCACTCTCAGGAAGGGCATGATGAGGTTTGGAAGCAGAGATGAGCCATCACGCGACAGTGGCCAAAGGGCAACACCAGTCACCCCAAGGCCCACGGTGCCACAGCCCACGAGTGGGGCTCAGGGTTATGCAGGCGTCCCATGCTTCCAATTAATTTGCTCCTAAGTTTAACTCATCAAAAGACAACCCTGAACATACTGATACCTGACTCAGCAATGGTTCTAGATTCCAAGAAGTGCACGCCATTCCCTGCCGGCCTCTGATGGAGCCATCCACGTGGCATGTGGGTGTGGTTGGCAGAAACCAAAGCTCCAGTTTAAACAAGTGGAAAGCCTGATGCGCTAGTGTTAGTGATAACAAACCGCCCCATCTATCAACAGCCATTGGAAGAGGCAGAAGAACGTAATGGTAAGGCTGTTCTGGTCCATCGAGCCCCACCCCCACAGGCTCCCAGGAAAGAACTAAAGCACATTTACAATGAAACTTCAGGGCGAGGACCTGATCTTCATTGATGGGTCAACACATATTAACAATGATTCCAGGCATCATACCTGGCTTTGCTTAGTGGGGAAAAGGACTTAATTTTTAGATTCCTGACTCTAACAGACCTTAGAAGTTATTTTTTTAAAAAATGTCAGTCTCCGCTGTTGGCTGATATGCCTATCCCTGAGAACCCAAGCTTTGTGTCACACAGACCTTTGCGGGAGGCTTGGTCTGCTACTTCCTGGGTGCATGGCCCCAGGGTGCAAAAAAAGAAGTGGGTGGAGCCTTTAATAACTCAAGACCTGGCAAAGTAGACCTAGCCCACTCTGCTGAGTGGCTGAGAAGGGGTCTGGCCCCGAGAATGAGGCCTTCTCTGATATGACTGCCAAGTGACCCTGGCTCCTGACCACTGCCAGACAGAGTCCCTCAGCTGGGGGCAGCAAGGTCTCAACAGAACCTACTGGAAGCTCCAGCCGTGAAACTACACGGATGTGGATGTTCACTGGACAGAGGGCATCCCGGGAACCCCCAGCTCTCCTGACAAGATCAAGAAGCTGTCAAGGACGCCCTAAAAGCACAGAAGCTACACATACTTGTCAGTCAGGACAGCTATGATTTAAACACGAAAACGTATAGACACCGAAGTGAAGGGAAGTGGAAAATCTGAAGTGTGATTAAAAGAGGCTCCTCTGCGAAGGTGTCCCTATTTCATTTCTGCTTTTTGGCATATGTTTTTGTTATTGGCAGAAAGGTGACTCCCAGTCACAAGTGTGTTCATTTCAAAGGGCTTGGACATAAGAGTATTATAAACTATCGTACTTTCATTAAGAAATACTCTTACCTCTGCTGTTGAATTAGGCACCTAGACAAAACAAAACAAACATTTCATTAAGTACAGCAATAAGCAGCATTTTTACTGCTTTTTTCCAGATCCGGGTTATAGGAAGGATTCATCTCATTAAAGATTTCACAAAGAGAAAACAGAATTTCCTTAATCAAGATTTGCCATCTCCCTATATTTGTGTATGACGTAATCAGAGATACATTCCTTTCCTTCAGCCTGGAAGCCCAAGAGACCAGCCCAACAACACCAGGGACCGGGAGCCTCTGTGCTTCTGGCGAATTACTCAGGATTTCCCACAATGACAGCACCGTGGGCAAGACCGGGCTCCTATCCTCTAGTCATTCTCCTTGCGCCTGTCCCCACCGCAAGTAGGACGTGGCTTGCCCAGGTGATGTCTGCAGCCTCCTAATGGGTCAAGCCCCCTCAGTGGCAAGCGCCTGCATCCCTTTTTGAAGGTCTCCCCTCTCTTTAATTTCCATTCCCCTCCCCCAGTCACAACAGTGGCAGCAGGGGGCTCTGGAAGCTGGTGAACAGACATGGATGGGGAGGCCTGTGCCCAAAGAGAACCGTGCCCACCCTTCAGGGGACCTGCTTCCAGGACAAGTGGAGAAGGCAGCTATGCTGGGAGAATGCTTGGCCAAGAGGGTGACTTGGGAGAAGGCAGGGAAAGGGAAGGGGGGTGAAAAAGGTTCAACTTGATTCTGAAAACTGAAGCCCAGATGAACACTGGTGCCAGGAACCATCTACTCCCCCTCCGCCCCACACCCACAAAATCAGGTGTGGGGCCTGTTACAATAATCACATGTTTTTTGATCATTGAGAAGCCTCCATGCACCCCTCCGTGTCACTGCCCAGTGGGCCCATGGACCTTGGACCTTGCTCGTTCATTCCCTTCAGGCTTCATCCTGCAACCAGAGACAGGGCCTTGCCACCCCTGTGACCCCTTCTCCCTCCTCCAGCAACTCCATCTCCTCTCCTTTCCTACTTGCCTATTTGATGCACCAACAAGAAAATGGATTTTCTCTTCTTTTCTGGTCTGGTCCTCAGAGAAATATCTTTTTGGTGCTAATACAACTGTTTCTATCACAGACATTAAGATGTCTTTTATTTTTTTTTTTTTTTTTTTTTTTTTTTTTTTTTTTTTTTTTATTTATTTTAGGGGCATGTTTATTTATTTATGTTTGTTTGTTTGTTTTGTTTATACATGCACTGGGTACAGTCAGAAGCGCGGGAGGGTGAGAGAATTCACCAGAGCCAGAGCAGGGAGCAGAGCAGGCAGAAGGACCGAAGTACACTGCTGAGGGGAGCAGCGGGCCGCAGGAGAGGTCTGCGCGCCATGCGGGACCCTCCTCTGGTGGCTGGGGAGCAGCCGGGGATCGAACCGGCGCCGCGGAGGCCAGGGGCAGGTTCGCAACCCAGCGCTCAACCGCTGCGCCACCGGGGAGGCCCAACATTAAGATGTCTTTTAATTTGGACCTCCCTGGTGGCGCAAGGGTTTAAGCACCACTATGAAGCAGTTCGCAGCTTCTGCAGCACGAGTTTGATTCCCCAGCTGGCCAGGGAGCAACCCACATGGCGAAGCAGACCACTCCTATCTCGCCCGCTGCTCCCCTCAGCAGTGTACTTTGGTCAGTCTGCCTGTTCTGCTCCCCACTCTGTCTCTGGGGGGGTCCTCTCACCCCCTGTATCTCTGGCCTGTACCCCAACTCTTGTATGCATAAATAAATCTTTTTTAAAAATGTCTTTTAAAATTATTTTAGTTATTATTTTTTTTTTATTTAGGAGACAGACATTATCAGTTACCATCAGAATGAATGAAAGCAAAATATGAGCAAACCCTATAAAAATAAAAATTATTTTTAAGTGATTAGCTCAATAACCGGTATTAATATGATAAAGAACTGGAGAAGAGAAATTTAAACTTGAGTGTCAATCATGTAGTGAAATTATTCTTACTTGATATATTTTAAAAGGGTACAAAGAAAAGAAAATATACCTAATGAATCAGTTCCACTTCAAAATCATGCTTACCCTCAAAATTTTAGGGCTGCTATAATAAGCCATGCTCAGGGCGTCAATGTCTTCACATTGCTCCAAACGTATCCTTCTAGTGCACTTAACAGCTTGGTTCAACAGAAATGCTGGAAAGCATAACATTCCCCAAAAGAAACAATATCAGGAAAGAAAAAAATTTTCAGCTGTTTGGTGGTAACAAAAAAACTGTAATCCAGGTAAAATTGTAAAATTAGCTGTGACAGATACAAAACATACTTAAAATAGGTTTTAAAAACTGTTTTTCCAGTAGGTGGTAATGGTCACAAAATTCAGACCCCAAAGCACAAGGTATTGAGTGAAGTCTCTCTCAACCCTTGTCCCCAGGCCCCCAGCAACCACTGGGTCCCTTCCCCAGAAACAATCAGCATGAAGTTTCTAGTATCTTTGTGGAAATATTTTATGCAAATAAAAGCTTGTGCATATGTATTTTTGTATTTCTTTCCCCTTCTACAAACAAATGCCCTTTTTTTTTTTTTTTTCACTGAACAATGTATCCTAGACTTCAGGGCATGAAAAGTTTCCTCCTTTTCTTCAGGATATGCAGTATTCTATTGTAGACATGCCAAAATTTACTCATCCAGCTCCCCATTAATGGGCACTTCAGTGGTCTCTTGCTGTGCTGTCACTATGCTGTGATGTACTATTTTGCAAGTGGGCCAGCGTTTCTGTAGGACCAACTCCTAGCATTAGAAGAGCTGGGTCAGGAAGGCCTTAGTCAACGGACAGTTCATCTACAACAAAGGACCCAAGAGTGCACAATGGAAAAGGAAAGTCTCTTCAACAAACGGTGTTGGGAAACTGGAGAGCCACATGCAAAAGAATGAAACTAGGCCACTCTTCCACACCCTACCCCACACAAAGTTAATTCAAAATGGACTGAAGACTTTAATGTAAGACTAAAAACATAAAATACATAGAAGAAAACATAGGCAACCCCCTGTGCCACTGGCATGACTGGCTTCAGTGATGTCACTGGGGACTCAACTACAATGGCAAGGGGGAAAAAAAGCAAAAGATAAATAAATAAATGGGACTACCTCAAACTAAACAGTTTCTTCAGAGCAAAGGAAATTCTCATTAAAATGAAAGGATGCCGTACTGAGTGGAAGAAAATGTCTGCACATCATACATCTAATCAGGGGCTAATATCCAAGCTCCAACTCAACAAGAAAACAACCTAATCAAAAGAATGGGCAGAAAATCTAAATGGACACTTTCCCAAAGAAGACAGATGGCCAATAGGCAATTGAAAAAAATGTTCATCATCGCTAATCATCAGAGAGACACAAAGCAAAGCCATGAGATACCACCTCCCAGAAGGGAGACTGGCCATATTACAAAGACCAGAGACAATAAGTGCTGGCAGAGTGGGAGAAAAGGAATCCTCACACTCACTGTTGGTGGAACAGTAAACTGGTCTAGGTCCGATGGAAAACAGGATGAGGTTTCTCAAAATATTCAAAATGTAACTACCCCATGATCCAGCAATTCCACTCTGAAGAAACAACAACATTCCCATGTTTTTTACATTACATTAGCCAAGCTGTGGAACAACCTAAGTCCGCAACAACAGACAAGCAGATAAAGAAGGTGTGAAGTGGACACACAGTGGAATACGACTCAGCTATACAAAAAAAGATGAAATCTCAATTACCTGAGTAGACCTTCAGGAGCTTATGTTAAGCAAAATAAACCAGAAGGAGAAAGCCAAACACAGGGTGATTTTACTCATATGCATAATATAAAGAAACAACACAAAGGAACAGACAAAATTAAGCAAAACCAACCCCAGAAACCTGACTGCAGAACTGAGGTTGCCAGAGACCGAGGAGGACGGGGCCTAATGCACTGTGGTGGAGGGTCATGGGTGCTTTGGAGGTAGGCTTGGGGTGGTAACGTACATTTGAAGAGGTATTACTCAGAACCTTTGAAGTGCTGTAAACCAGAGTTACCTTAAAAATCGATATTAAAGTTTAAAGAAGACAGTCACTTATAATTCTGACATACTGCTGAGTGGTTCTTCACAGAGACTACCAATTTACAGTCCCACCAGTGATGTAAGTGAGGGCCTACCTCCCCACAGCCTTACGTTTCTCAAGCTTTGCCAATCCAGTAGACGAGAATGCATCTCAATTTGCTCTTAATGCCCACAGTTCCTACTGGGGAACTGTGTTAAGTTCCAGGTTAAGTGTCCTCTCAACAGAATATGGTTTCCATTGCCTATCAAATGAGGCTTCATTAAGCCATGTGCTATCATCGTTACTTGGCTAGTGTCTTCAGAAGAGGCTGATTTAAGGCTTGGAGAACTGTGGCTTCCACTGCCAAGAAGGCTTCTCCCTGGACTTAACAGCGCCCCTAAGAGGAAAAGCAGGACTTGGGTAGGCCACTGTCGGGGCTGCATCCCTGCTCCCCACATTGTTTCTCGGCTTCCACATCTCAAAAGTGGAGATAATAACCCTCCCTTAGAGATCACAGTGAGGAGTTAAAGGACAAACACAAGTCAGTGCTAACACAGCCCGCAGCCTGAGAGATGTTAGCCACTGACAAATGGTAGCTCCAGGGAGGAAAATCCTTCCAACTGGAAGCCTTCACCAATTGAGGGGGCTGGCCACAGGCAGTGAGTTCCCTATCACTGCCAGTGCTCAAGCACCACAGTACACTAGAAAAGATTCAGCACTGGGTGCAAAAGTGAACCACATAACCTGCGAGGCCCTTTGCCATTCTAAGGGTGTTTCTAGGGATGAAGTCTGTTTATTGTGACTTCTATAAATTTAAAGTCAGAACAAACTGTTTTCAAGAGAAAGAAAAATGCCCACTTTCTTGGGCCTCCCTAGTGGTGCAGGCAGTTGAGCGCAGCGCTGTGAAGCTGTCTGCAGCCTCTGCAGTGCAGGTTTGATCCCAGCAGGGGAGATACCCACATGGCGTGGCAGACCTCTCCTGTCATGCCCGCTACTTCCCTCTCCTGTCATGCCCGCTACTTCCCTCAGCAGTGTATTTCAGTCAATCTTCCTGTTCTGCTCCCTGCTTTGTCTCTGGTAAATCCTCTCACCCTCCTGCACATCTGGCCTGCACCCTAGTTCTTGTATGCATGAATATATAAATCTTTAAAAAAAAAAAAAGGAAAAGAAAAGAGCCCACTCTCTTACCTGCGGGGTTATCATCAGTGCATAAAGATGACGTTAGGGGAGAAGGAAACCTCAAAAATGAATGTGATGTCTGCAGACGTGCCCCGTACTGTAAGGAGAGTGAGCAACCACTGTTAAGGCGTAGGAAGGCGTCCACTCAGCAAACATTTGCTGGATATGGACTATGTGCAGGCAGCACTGCTGCCATCCGGAACTCAGCGATGAACTCCATCTGGCCACCCACCCTTTTCTCTGAAGGGGTGTGTGTGTGTGTGTGTGTGTGTGCATTGTAGTACATGGCAGCCTTCTTTATTAAAGACTTCTTCGGGACCAGTAGATGAGAAACCGACAGACGTGCCTATCTCTGCAGACAGCTGGGGTATTGGAGAGGGATTTTCCACTCACAAAAATTATTTAAATGATGGATAGAGTATGCATGAAAATCCTAACATTGATATGCCTTCTTTCCCCAAAAATTTCCCATGAAATTTTCCCCCATTATTCAAAACAAAATCTATAGCTATTGGGCATACAGTTTTTATTATTATTATTATTACTATTATTTAAAAGTTTATCCAAATGCCTCAGTGCCATAAGGGTTTGGGGAAACACGTTCTCCCTTTCACTAGAGCTGGGAGTGTAAACACCTGCAATCTTTCTAGAGGCCAATCTGGTATCAATGTTTTGAATTTCCATTCGTTTTGACCAAGGTAACTCATTTGTGGGAACATGTCCTAAGGATTTAATCAGACAGAGATCTGTGGGCCTATAAGGATGTTAATCGTGGATTATTTCTAACAGCAAAAACCAGAACGAACCTCTGGTAGTAGTGGAATGTCAGTAACAGATGGTGACAATGTCCACAGGGGGACATGGCGCTCTCCAAAAATCTAACTCCACCCCGCAGCTCTGGCTAAGTACTGTCCTACAGGGACCTAAGTCTTCTCTCCAGCGAAGCGGGAACGGACATGGCCCCAGGGCTGTGTGCATGACGCTGGGAGTACAGAAAATGATCAAGAAACGGTAGCTTTATCCTGACGTGGGAATATGCCCAAGATTTACCACTGAATAAAAAAGGTTACAGATCAGGTGGCTAACAAAAAAATCATATCTTTGTGCAATACTGTATTTTTATAGCTGCTTTTAAAAATCAGGAATATACACCAACCTGTGAAGAGGGCCTGCCTCTCCATTTTTCCTTATGGACCCTATTGAAAGTTGTAACATTTAAAACCAGTTCATGTGCTTTCATGCTTCTTTTTAAAAGATGCTTGTGAAAAACTTGAAGTTTATTCTAAGCTGATGGATATCACATTTTAAAATTTACTAATGAATACGTATAAAATGCCACACATGCCCCCAAAGTCTATAAAGCTAATCAACAAATACAACTTGGAGAGGAAGAGCAAGCATGCAGCCGGCCACTCCATGTTCCCAGCAGCTTGCCTTGAGCATTTTGTTGCATCTTTTTAAGCGTAAAAGAGCAAATAATTTGGCAGAAACAAATGCAAGCTTACCATGGGATGAATGACTTTTAAACCTCACGTTAGAATTCGGCTACTTAGTTTTAATGCTTATGATCTCTGAGTTACAGGCATGAACATTAATTTTTTTGTCAGTAGTATGAATTCTATGTCTCAGTGTTGCTGGAAATACTGAAAAATTGACAAGGACAAGTAGCTGGGGATGTAGGACAAGCAGAGTGGATTTAATCAGATTCCTGACCCACCTCATATTTAGCAGCATTTGGAGAGTCCGGTATGTTCGGGAAAGAATCATCTGCTTCTGCATTTGATGAAAAACCATCTGATGCTTTTATCAACTTATCAAAACTGTTTTCATCAGGCACTTCTGGATTAATAAAGGATAATGCAGGTTTATCTGTTTTCAGAAAAGGTATTTTAAATTAATAAACATAGAATGTCTATCATATATAACACATATTTGAAAGTAGTATACTTTCAGTTAGTACTTGTTCATATTAAATAAACAGGACTTGGCCTCTAACAGTGTAGAAACCATGCTTCCTACAGCCCACAGGTAAACAGCACAATAGAAGTCAACGCCAATCTTTCTCCAGCCCACGGACTGAGGGTCTGCAGCATGAGCCCCTGAGGGGAAGCTTTCTCCAGATGGCTATGGAAGGAAAGATCCCATCCTACCCTCACACAGCCACTCCACAGCCGGGGAGGACAGCATGCTGTGATGGAGGAGGGAGGAGGGCCAAGCAGGTATGCACACTGGCTGGCATCCTGGCAGAGACTGCGACAATGACTGAGTGGGCATAATTTGGGCTACAAATCACAGAGCATTCTCCTAAGTTTTCAATTGCAAGAGAACAAGCCCCAAATGTAAAGATATTCTGAAAAGATGATGAAATTTGATCAATAAAGCCATACACATATCTCTGATCTTGGAGAGCTTGCTAACATTTTGTACTTTGGATGTAGTCACCTATTCGAGCCATTTGCTCAGATAAAAATAAAGATCCTGTTTTCATGCAAATATTCTTAGTAAAAATAAAAGAGAAAAAAGGAAATTGAAACCAAAGTTAACCTGATTCTCCACCATTATACCAGGAGGAAATAAAAAACCCATACATGCCTAAATAAATCTAAGTTCCTAGGCATGTCTACACCATGACCACCTTTGAAACAGAGCGTGAGATTTCAAAAGACAACGACATAAGCACAGTTACTTTTAAAGAAAATGTGCATCCCCAGAAGTCGACCAAGTGACTGGCAGTTGCCTATGAAATGCTCTAAGATTCAACTTAGCTAAACCATAGAATGATTACTTTCAATCTCACTGAATGGAACATTTTTCCATAAAGGAACTTGCCAAAGAAATATTTTTCAGAGTTTCTCATTTATTACCATCAAATACTTACAGTTTGTAATGTGAATGCAAAAAATAGATGGATTGATCTGGTCAACAAGTTTAAATATCCTTTGAGGTGGGTTTGCTGTAAAATTCAATGAATAGGTGGCTGCTTTTTGACTACAAAACTGACTGTCACCCCTGAAAATTGAGAAAATAACAAAGTAGAAAGTTTTGAGGCATATGCACACAATCTTAGCAAGATTATTTTAAAACTGTCAGATGCTTGTACCGTACTATGTTAACAACGACATAGAAGATATTTATGAAGGTGTGATGTTAGAACTGAATCATTTTTATTTAGTTTATTCAGTGTCAAAATGTTTGATATTTGAAACTTTTTCCTCTATTAGGGAAAAATTAAGACAAGTAAAATAACCTTGAAGGAAATCTTGTCAAGTAGAGAATACAGATCAGGGTACAGTTTTGATGTAAATGAACCTTGTAAATTCTGACAGAATCAATTATATAAATTTTTGCAGAACTTCAGACTGTTTCTAGTTACTCAGAATGGATCCAAAATTCCTTGTCTTTAGAATAAAACTGTCTTCAAAGGTTGGTTAAAAGGAGAAAAGAGGACGTTGGGTAGAAGTTCCAGGGCTCAGAACTTTTGGTCAAGTCTTCAATCCCAGATTTGACAAACCCTAATCAAACTGCTTGCTGAGGGCCCTTTCACACATAATATATATTGTTCACTATTTTCCATGTCACTGTATCCCAACTTACTAATTTTTTTTTCCAACTTATTAATTTTTTAAATCAATCTTCTACTGTTGGTTTGGGTTGTTTCTAATTTTCCTGAGTTAAACGCAACACTATAATGACATACATCTTTAGGAATGTCTCCAGTTATTTCCTTAGGCCATATTCTCTGAATGGAATTGCTGGGTTAAAAGGCAGGTCCGAGGTTTAAGGCTTTTGGAACAGCCTCCTACCAGGCTGTCCTCCAGAAAGGCAAGCGGCATCCTCACCAACACTATAATTAACTGCCGATTAACTCTGGCCAAGATTGGTATCATCATTCAATTCTAAAACTCTGCCAATTTCATGGACAAAAATCTGTTATCTCATTGTCTTAATTTGAATTTTCTCATTTGCTAGTGCAATTAAACATTTTTCCATGTGGTTATTGCTTACTGGTATTTCCTCTTCAGTAAGCTCCTTATTCATATCGGCTGACCATTTCTTGTTAATTAGTATGTTTGTCTTCTTGATATGTGAGAACCCATGTTTTTAAGAATCTCCTTTGAGTGTCACTGTTGCAAATGTTTTTTTCCAGTTTGTTACAATTTTAATTTTCCAGTCATATGTTTTGTTCAACAATGGTAGAGTTGAAAAATTGCAACAGGATCAGATGGCCTATGAACCTTAAAATACTTAATGTGTGGCCCTTTATAGAAAAATCTCGCTGACCTTCATTCTAAATAGCCCATATGTAAAACAGTCCACATGTAGAAAGACTTTCCAGATATACAAAAATGTGTTCCATTTAACAATTGGAAAAAGCAAACAACCTAATTAATAAACAGGCAGCAGATCTGAATAAGCAGTCCACCAAAGAGCATACCCAGAAGATTGATACATGGAAAAATGTTTATCATTGCTTTTAATGCGATAACATCTCACACCCCTGAGAATGGTACGTATTAAAAAGAATCCCAACAAGTGCTGGAGAGAATGCAAAGAAAGAGGAATCCTAATTACACTGTTGGTGGAAATATAAACTGGTACAGTCATTTGGAAAGCCATCTGGATTTATCTTTATTTTTTTAAGATTTATTTATTTATGCATACAAGAACTGGGGTACAGGCCAGAGGTGTGGGAGTGAGAGGATTCACCAGAGACAAGAGTGGGGAGCAAAACAGGGGGATCCACTGGAATACACTGCTGAGGGGAGCAGCGGGGAGACAGGAGAGGTCTGCTACACCATGTAGGTCAGCTCCCTGGCAGGGGATCAAACTCATGCTGCAGAGGCTACTGATAGCTTCACGGTGCTGTGCTTAACCCCTTGTGCCACCACAGAGGCCCTGGATTTATCTTTAAAAACAAAAAATGGAAATACCATAGGACTCAGCAATCCCACTGTTGGGCATCTCTCCAAAGAACATGAAACCATCAATTCAAAAACCTGTGCGCTCTACAATGTTCACTGCAGCATTATTTACAATAGTTAGACACATGGAAATAGCCTAAGTACCCACTGATAAAGAACTGGAGCAAGAAGATGTGGTCTATGCACACTATGGGTAATATTCAGCCACAAGGAAGACAAAATGCTGCCATTTACAGCAATATGGAACAAGTTTGAGAGAATTATATGCGATAAAGCAAGTCAGAATGACAAAGGCAAATAATGGCAGCAGACAATTGGACAAAAATATTTATAAAAGCTAGTGAACAATAATGAACAAAGTGAGATTTTGAGGCTAAAAGGGAGGGGGTGAAAGGGCTGTGGTGGGGAAAAGATAAAACAACAGTATTGGTTAATTCAAAAAAATAACATTCTCAACAACGAGTTCAAGAATAAGGAACCTCATCCGCAGGCTCCTGGTACTTACTAAGGCAGAATGATTTTCAAACAAGGCTGAGCTACAAAGCAGTGCACGCAGCCTATTATATTATAGCCTGTAATACCCTATTCTCTGAGCATTTTTACATAAGAAGGAGATTCTAACTTCCCAGCGGTCAGTAAAATAGTTTCTCATGGGAAAACCACATTGTACTTCCAAAGAACATTCAAGCTATTAAGTATCAATTGCTTCAACTCAATAAGTCTGAATTTAAATCAGCTATCTCCAAATAAGTGCTTCTATTTTTCCAAAAAGCTTTGAATCTTAATTACTAGAAACAGATCATTCAGAGGAGATTATTCCTTCACCTTGTGATCCACTGACAATGCCATTTTCCATTATTCTGCTTTACAATGTGAACTGTGGGGATCCCTATTAATTTACATACCAGAAAAGCATAAACAAAGCCTCCCTATTTAATTTTTTGTTACAAGTTCTATATCCCTAACAAAAGCTATAAAAGTAAACTGCACTTTCACCCTCACTATCCATGAGACTAACTCGCTGATATCAAAATGTGACACAATACCTGTTTACAGAGCAGAGTGAAATGTAATGCAAGCTCTGAACACAGATTTCATTATACTCTTCATCAAAACCGCGTTTGTCATAAACTTACGTGACAACTGGAACTGAGCAGGCAGAAAAGACACTGAAGTCGCTGGCGCTGCAGTCAGGATCACAACAGCAGTTGACATCACACTGTGCTGGAGACAAGTCACAGACACACAGAGCAGCAACTACAGAAACAAGCAGGGGTCATGGTCAGCAGGTAGTGACTGTCCCCTGTCACAGCAATGTACCAAAAACCCATTCCATGCAAAAGGTCCATTTTATTTTTCCTACTGCACTTTGGGGAAAATGTGCGAAATGAAAATGAGTGGGTTTGAACACCCCTCAATCCCAGATTCTCTACAGCAGCTAAGCATGGCTCACTTGGAGAGTTGTTTGTGCTCTACCTACAAGGACTGACGGGGTGAGCTGGCTATGGACTAGACTTAAGAGTTTGTGAGATCGTTCCAGTTGATGCTAATAATTAAGACAGGCTTAAGTGCAAGCACACTAAATCACCTCTCCGGCCTTAAGATCCACTGTTTTAATATTGCCCAGACCCAGACCCTTTCTCTGCAGATTCTGACAGAGGGGAAGGGCCCCCTGAGGCCACAAAGAACCGAGGTTCTCAAGCTTGGTCCCCCTCCTAGGGCGTAAACATCAATTTTGATGTTGAACCCATCTTCATGTGTTATTTGGCAAGATACAAACTGGTTAAGGTGGGGATTACATGGGATTCGTGGGCACCATAGTGGCCCAAACATTGAGTTTTTAGGGGTACAACCTCTGCAGCCTGTTCATCGTGGTGTTAACCTGCTACCGTTGGCTCAGAGGCGTGAGCTAGAGGCCACTCTGGGACTCTCAGAGTCTTGAGTTCTTACTGGGTTGATGAAGATTCTGTGTGCAAATTCTGAGGTTACCCTCAGATCCATTCTATAAAGCCATCAGGAGAAATACTGACACCCAGGGGATCACCAAACCAGCCCCCACACACAGTGGAGCTGTGAGGGCCCACACTCTCCAGCCCCACTGTGACTGCTAATAAGAAACGTCTGTAAAATGCTTACCTAATACACAACTTAGATTTCAAAAATCTCAAGCTAATGCTGGTAGAGTCCATACAATATTCTTATTTATATGTCTGAGTTACTTCACTGAACTGTAGCTCAAAAAAAGTACAGTTAACATACTCTAGAAAAGTATAAGGAAACGGGAATGACTTTTTGAATAAATACTAAATTCTTACCATGGGATACAGAAGTTTCCCCCGTAAGTTCAACACTTCTCTCGAGCCAAGGGCTACTCTATGTACTTAGTAAAATGATAACACAACTCGGAACACACCAATATAAGAAAAAAGAAAAAGAAAAAAAAAAAAACAGTGTACAGGCTCCCTGCCATGTGTTTTTAAAATTACGATCCTGATCTGTTTTTCAAAGCTTAAAACTTTTGTAGGTAACTATAAGACTACTAAGGAAAAAGCTGTAGCATTTAATAACTCCACTTGAATGAAAAGGTCTCGCTCTGGGATGAGTATACTTAATCAACCTGCAAGTGTGGGCTAAGAACTCGAAGGGTCTAGGCAGCAGTCAGCTGCTCTTTCCGCCTCTTCGTATGTACATGCCTGGCTTGTGGCCAGGGTACTCATGAACACATCTCAGATTCAGGATGAAAGGTATGACTCTTCTCTTCCACCTGTAACCCAGGCTACAAATGTCTGACCATTCCTCCATGCTTAGTCAGCCCGCTGCTCCAGCAGGTACCAAGGGTGACCTAAAATCAGGCAAATAACTCACCTACCTGAAAATGAGAATAACTCAATCATAGGGTTGTTATGAGAATTAACTGAGATATGCCACAGTGCCTATCAGACAGTAAGCAGTTAGGAAATGCCAGTGCTGTTTGTTATCACTGTTTTCACTGTTTGTTATCACTGTTTTCACAGGTCTAAAGAGGGCCCCTTCAAAATATGAAGATAAGTGCAAATACATCCCCCAAACCACGTGCCCTAATAATGATGTTTCAAGAACAGCTTCATTTGGGGGAGACAGTGCATTAACAGATAAATACTTACATAGATGAGAAACAATCAGATCCAAAAACCTTCGGGAATTTCAGGCATTGAGTAGTTTGTTCTATGTTTCAATTAATCACTGATTTAACTTTCCTACTCATTCATCAAGTTTCAATATAAAACTTTTGATTACATATATTGAAATAACAAATATATTTTTGTGTATGTTTTCTTACAAATGACTCATAATTTATAAAGAAATTATAATTTTTTAAAAAGATTTATTTATTTATTTATACAAGCACTGGGTACAGTCAGAAGCGCAGAAGGGTGAGAGAATTCACCAGAGCCAGAGCGGGGAGCAGAGCAGGCAGAAGGACCAAGGTACACTACTGAGGGGAGCAGCGGGCGGCAGGAGAGGTCTGCGCGCCATGTGGGACCCTCCTCCGGCGGCCGGGGAGCAGCCGGTGATCGAACCGGCGCTGCAGAGGCTGCGGGCAGCTTTGCAACCCAGCGCTCAACCGCTGCGCCACCATGGAGGCCCAAGAAATTATAATTTTTTTTTTTTAATAGAGGCATGTTATTTATTTATTTGTTTGTTTGTTTATACATGCACTGGGTACAGTCAGAAGCACGGGAGGGTGAGAGAACTCACCAGAGCCAGAGCGGGGAGCAGAGCAGGCAGAAGGACCGAAGTACACTGCCGAGGGGAGCAGCGGGCGGCAGGAGAGGTCTGCGCGCCATGTGGGACCCTCCTCCAGTGGCCGGGGAGCAGCCGGGGATTGAACCGGCGCTGCAGAGGCCGCGGGCAGCTTCGCAACCCAGCGCTCAACCGCTGCGCCACCGGGGAGGCCCGAAATTATAAAATTTTTTGAAGAAATATTGGCTCAGTAACTGAAGTCCTAGAGTTAAGGTTGTCGGTCAGCGATGAGTTTTCTATTTATTAATTCTAAGCCTTACTCAACTTAATATCTTACTCTCTTAAGTGAGGGAAAATACTTCATACCTGTTGAGATCACACAGCATAAAAATTTTTTTTGAGATCACAAACTCTTGAGAAACTATTTGTGTCTATGAACCCTCATCCTGGAAAAATGAATAAATACAAAATCGTGCCTTCAGTCTCAGAGTCACAGACATCCCTGAAGTCATCCAAATTAAATTAGGTTGTAAAAGATTCGCTGGATGTGTAACTCCAGTAGTAAGAGCACTTTCTGGGAAATATGTTGATTATCTCTAATGATGAATACTAAGAAGTGGGCATAACCCCTGTACCCCAGAACTTCCCACCTCCCACTCTGCACAGGAGGAATTCTGGGTGTTAATGATCTAAGTAAACAATGGCTTTGACCTAGTCACATTTAATAAGCTAGGCTTCTGGCGTCTCTTTTGAAAAGGCCAATGCATCCTAAGCGTTTAATTCCCATATCTGTACAAAGTTTTGATGTAATTTCGACTCGGGATGCAAAGCTGCAAGGATTCCTCCATTATTACCTTTGGCATTAATGCTATTTAGGCCAACTGCAAGGACGTTCACAGACTGATCCCACTTACGCCTCGACTTTCTCATCTGCAGAAGGGAATAAGAACGCCTGCCTCCCAGGGCCGCAGAGAGGGTGAAAATGCCTTTGCAACTAATGCCTCCGTGTTCAGCAAACGTTAACTATCATTATTATTTATCCTCGCCGCGCCACCCTCCAGGTTGGATTCCTGTGGACCCCGGGCGTTGGCACTTGGTACCCACCGTCCGTGACCGGGGTGGGCCTGGGACCGGAGGAAGGTTTGGGAGTCTCGGGGGCCCCCGGGGGCGCAGACGACAAGGAGGGTCGTGGAGTCATCGGGACCGCTTCCGTAGAGCTCGGGCCCTCCGTCGTCACCGCCGGAGTGGCCCCGGCCCGGGCGCTCACAGAGGCCCAGCAATCCAGGAGCACCAGCAGCAGCGGCGGGACGCCTCGGGGTCCCATGGTCCAGCCCAACCCCGCGCGGCCGGCGGCAGGGACCGCGCGTTGCCTAGCAACCACGGCGGCCGGCCGCGGGGCATTACGGGAAAAGGCCGCGAGGCCGCGCGAGAGCGCAAGGGCGGAAGGCGGGGCCTGGGCGTGACGCTCCGCGGAGGGCGGGCGGGGGGCGGGGCGAAGCCAGGGACGGGGCGGGGCAAGTGCCGAATGGGAGGAGCCTGCGCGTCCCACCTGTGCGTTCCCTGCGGGGCGGGGCCCTGGCTTTAAAGGGCGGCTTTGTAGGTACCATCCCAGGGCGTTTCGGCTCAGTAAGTCTAGGGCTGGGCTCAGGAATCAGTATTTTTGACAAAAGCCCTGACGCAGCGGCTTGAGGACAGGTACTTGGAAACCGCCCTCCTGGAGTTGCTAGTGGGGTGCTTGGGCGGAGCCCTAAGATCGCGTCCTGGTCCCAGCTTTTCTCCATCCCGCGCCCCAGTTTGTCTTAGACGCGTGGGAGATGGTCTCCAGGTAATTTCTGTTCACTGTGTTGTGATAAAGGGGCAAGTGGACTTTGCATAACTTTAAAGACAGAAAACATGGACAGAAATTAAGTAGAATGATGTGTAAGTCTTGAAAAGGAAAAACAAGGCAAATCTCGGGAACTCTCCAAAATGGCCTGGTCTTGGGGAAACCCTTCATTCTAAACTAGCTTATTTAGGG